AACATGCTGGCCTACTTAAATCATATTTGCAAATATGTATGAATCTTGGAAGGTTAAATTTGTACAACTTTGTGGAAAAAAAGTTACACATGTGTGAGAGACTGATCTGACGTCAGATTCCACTGTCCATTGTCTCAAAAATTGGTCTGAGAAGCTAAGGTGGAAATCCACCTATTTTTTGTCTCAGAGATGGGTGTGAGGAGTTGAGATAAGACTCCAGTATCCATTGCCTGGGGTGTGAGGAGCTGAACTGGGACTCCACCATCCATTGCCTGAGGGATGAGTGGGAAAGAGCTGAGATAAGACCCTTCCATTAACTGTACCATTGGTGTGAGGAATTGCTACCCATTATCCCAAGAATTGCTACAGACACCTCTGTGTGTGGAGACAGGTGCAGTTGAAGAGCTGGCTGCAAGACCAGGGAAACTGGTCCACCAGGAACGAGTAATACATGACATGAAGAACAGAGGTAGTGCCCCCAACTCATTATAAAAGAGGGAAAAGGTAATCAGGGGGAAGCACATTGCCAGGGAGCCATTGCCATGAGGATGACTCCAGAAGGACACTTCTGTGAGAGCACTCCGCCGATGACTATTATGGACCCCAAGGGACACCCTCCATGAGACATTGCCATGAGGGCAACTCCAAGAGACACTTCACAGGGTACCTTCAAGGGGACTCCAGAAGAGCACCTCCACGAGGATCCCCACTTCCCACGGACTCTTGGGGGACCCTGTGGTCCGACTATGAACCCTGAAGAACTCTCACCACCAGTGACGACGACAGTGGATTCTTGAAACACTGCTGGATCCATGGTGCTGACTATCTCTCTGTGCACCCCAAATCCTTGCTTCATTTTCTACCTTTTTTCCTGTCTGTCCTATCGCTATCCCCTTTATTACAATTTCCTTTTTTTTAATAATAACTGCCTTTTTGTAATAAACCAACTAATCAATTATGATACTTGACCTCATTGGCATCTTCATTTCACTCTTGGGATCATGAACTGAAACAGGGTCCGGTGCTGGGGTTTCCCCCAGTCGGACCCTGACAACATGAGAGAAGAAAAAGGTAAAGCAGAGGTCTTGCATAGCTGGCCAGGTGGTTGTATCTACTGCTTGGCTAATAAGCACAGCTCTGGCTTTGGGCTTGTGCATTTCTTGCACAAAGATTGATTCATAGCATACTAGGGAGCAGCTGGGGCCTTGGGTTACTGCTGTAAGTTGAATTACGCACAAAAGACACAAGCCCTCCAGAAATAATGTTTGTTGAGGTTCTTAGCTTACAGAGGAGCTTGTCAGTATGAGCAGTTCCAAAGTCTTATTTCCAGGCCAAAAGCATGAAGTCATGCAGAATTAGGGTTATTCTGCCAGCAGTTCATGCCTGAGTAGTAATAAGGGATTAATGTTCCCTCCTGTTGCACCTTGCTCTGCTGGAAGTTACCACTCCCATCTGGTAGAAATAACAAGAGAGAACGTGTCCGTTCCTCAGCTTCCAGGGGTGCAGAAGATAATATGCCAAATTTCATGATCGTTTGAGTTAATTTTCAGTTGGTGAACTAAAATATTTCCAGAGCAGATATGCTGCTAATTTTGCTGACTCTCCTTCATGGGCAATAACTTCTTCTAGGAGAGAGAGGCAGAGAGTGAGGGACAGCGATATGCATCCAGTGTGAACTGCCAGAGCTTGGAAGGCAAGATGGGACAGCCAGTCTGTGGCAGTGAAGTACAGTACAATAAGGCAAATTGGCTGATAATGGGATTAAAATACTGACATTTTCATGGACAAGTTTAAAGGGAGGTTTGGTCCTTTTCTACAAGACTTTACAAGGACAGAAGATTTCTGAGGGTAGATTATTAATACCACAAAGACATCATGTGATCCAATGACTGGAAGCTAAAGGTAGACAAGTTCAAGCCAGATATAAGGTTTGACACTCAAGGCTATCAAACCAGTGCACAATTTCCCAAGGCATGTTAGTTTAGCCATCATATGAAGAATTTAAATCAAAACTAAGAACATATATTAAAAGTGGCTGGGCTGAGTCAAATCAGAGGCTCTTCTGGACTGGTGTTCTGTTTCTAGAAGTGGCCACAGAGGGAAGGGAGCTCAATAGGATGAGATGGGAATCCCAGCAGTTGTTTGACTCATTTCCATTACCTCTGGGATGTTATGTCAGGTCATCTCTTTTTTGGAGAACACCACTGAGCAGCACCCACATCTTCCCGAAGTTGAAGAGTCCTGAATGGGTGTGTCCTTAGAGAAAGGCTAATACAAAACTTGATATCCATCTTTATGTCTTTTCAATTTATACCATATAATTTAAGCAGAAGTTTTAGTCTCAATGCAAAACTCTGTAACAATTTCTACCCTGTTCTAAATAGAAGGTCCCATCAGTGATGCCTCTGGTTTCTGTTAGGCCAGAAGTAACTGAACAAAATTTGGTTGCAGAAAAAGTGATAATAAAAACATAGACTTCCATCGATTGTTGTCCTCTCTAATCCTGAATCCAAAGCAGTAACTTGAAACCATTTAATTAACGTGCTGGTGCCCTATCAGCATGGCCATGTTTCAGAGAGGTTAGGAAGAGAAATGGGGAGAAAAAGCATCAGAGAAGTAACCGAAGTACAGTGTTTACCATGTCTCCACCATATCAAGCACAACGCTGCACATGCTTTTCTGGGTAAATCTGTCTTTCCTGAAGACTCTTTCCTGTTAGGGTGGTGAGGCACTGGAATGGGTTGCCCAGGGAGGTTGTGAATGCTCCATCCCTGGCGGTGTTCAAGGTCAGGTTGGACGAGGCCTTGGGTGATACGGTTTAGTGTGAGGCGTCCCTGCCCATAGCAGGGGGGTTGGAACTAGATGATCTTAAGGTCCTTTCCAACCCTAACGATTCTATGATTCTATGAATGAGCAAGTGTGTTAAAAATAATTGAAATCTTAGTCTTTGGTTAAATTTTCGCTATGTGTTTAAGACAGGTTTTGGACACCCTGAACAGATAGGCAAATCTGCTGTTGTTGCTACTGGTCTCTAGTTAGCCAAGCTTGTCCAGAGCGGGCAACTGCTGCTATCTGCCTCTTCATGTTCCACTTCATAGAATCATGGAATAGTTAGGGTTAAAAAGGACCTTAAGATCATCCAGTTCCAACCCTCCTGCCGTGGGCAGGGACACCTGACACCATGTCACCCAAGGCTCTGCCCAACCTGGCCTTGAACACCACCAGGGATGGAGCATTCACAACCTCCTTGGGCCACCCATTCCTGTGCCTCACCACCCTTACAGTAAAGAATTTCTTCCTTATAGCCAATCTAAACTTCCCCTGTTTAAGTTTGAACCCATTACCTTTGTCCTATCACTACAGTCCCTGATGAAGAGTCCCGCTCAACATCCTTACAGGCCCCCTTCAGATACTGGAAGGCTGCTAGGAGGTCTCCATGCAGCCTTCTCTTCTCCAGGCTGAACAGCCCCAACTTTCTCAGCCTGTCTTCATACAGGAGGTGCTCCAGTCCCCTGATCATCCTCGTGGCCCTCCTCTGGACTTGTTCCAACAGTTCCATGTCCTTTTTACGTTGAGGACACCAGAACTGCACACAATACTCCAAGTGAGGTCTCATGAGAGCAGAGTAGAGGGACAGGATCACCTCCTTCGACCTGCTGGTCACGCTCCTTTTGATGCAGCCCAGGATACGGTTGGCTTTCTGTGCTGCAAGCACACACTGAAGCTGGCTCATGTTCATTTTCTCATCAACCAGCACCCCCAAGTCCTTCTCTGCAGGGCTGCTCTGAATCTCTTCTCTGCCCAGCCTGTAGCTGTGCCTGGGATTGTTCCGACCCACGTGATATCTTTATAACACGTTTATGGGAGAAATCTGTCATCAGCAATTTACTCAGTAATGAGCAAGGTTTTGCCTTTGGCAGAATCCGTCAGCTGAGTACCAATGTTTCAATGTAAGTATGACACTATATAAATTAAGTACATAAATAATAAAGATGTAGATATTCACAGAGGCGTGGAGGCCGTTTAATAGAAAGAGCAAAGGAACCAGCATGTTCCTCAGAAATTTGAGTCTATGGGCAAATTAAGGTTGTAAAAATACTTTTTTTTTTTTTCCTCAAGGGGAGAAAAGTAATATGACTGTATTTGCACAGAATATTTACACAGAAGATTAGATTAACTGATGCCATTTGATGATTTAGCAAGGCACTTAGGAAAAAGAAGGTGGAGGGAGGATAACAGTAACCCTAGAAGTTGAAGAGATTTCTTCAGCGCACAGGAAGTATGGCAACCCTTTTGGTTCTCATGATGGTTGAGAACCTGCCTGCAAGGTGGTTTGGTTCATGAAGACTTTAAAACTCATATTATCACACCAAAGTGTTGCTATCAGTATCCAGGGGAAAGGTGGAAAATGAGCTGACAAATGTTACCCCTGCTGTGTGACAGAAGATCACTTGAGAATTTGAGTATTTATGCAATCATTGCTTTATCTGCATATTTCTTCTTTGTTGTTCTTGATGCATGTTTCAGCATTTTTTCAACCATTAGAGAAATATATGCAGTAAAAGTAAAAAGTATAGCCCCTCTGAAATGAAAATAAACTGTTTTAAAATATGTTGCTTTCATGCACTTGTGACATTTGAGGAAGGTGTAGCATGGCAATGAATATTGAGCAAACTTATCGTGAGTACTGAAGTGGTAAGAGTTTTTTCGTCATTTACTGAAATAAACTGTAATTCTTCTCAGTTATCAGCAGGTGGCAATATCATGACCTTAAAAGTCTCGGGTTTTTTGAGTGGGGAACAGTTAGATTTGAGGAAGTGATGTATCCCTGTGCTGTAATCGTTCCAGGAAATAGTTATATTACAGTCCCAGCAAGGTTCAGATTTCCGTCTAAGTTCGTCTTCTGTGTAAAGAACTATAGCTAGTATGGAAAATGTTAAACGTTAAGCCTGCAGGTTTCCTTGTAAATTGTATCATTTAACCCTCTTTTTTAACCCCATTTTTTTTTTAAAAAAAAAGGACTTGTTTTTCAGGAATTCATGATGAAGAACCTTTTTTTGTCTCTCTTACTTGTCTCTGTTCTGTTTATGAACAGCTTCTCAAAAGTGCAGGGAGGGAAATGGAAAGGTGAAGGTACAACACAAAATCTGGAAAGTATTGTCATTGGAAGATGCTATGACTATATTAGGATTGTGAATCCTGCTGTGGGGTAAGTTTTGCTTGTTTCTGTATTATTTTTTATCTTCTGGTTGTTAATCAGAAGCCTCATGCTTCACTTCTAGCCATGAAAGTGATCCTATTGAAGCCAGCATGAGTGTAGCTGTCTGGAAACAAAAAATGAACTTTGACAGATGTCATATTAATAAAAGTAGTGTAATTAAAGCAAGATTTTTAGTCCTTCAATTTTTTATTTCACATTTCCCCCTAGTGCCACAGTGTTCTGTAAGGAGAACACACAGAAATGGTGGGGACTGTATTTCTTAAGTACCAAAGCTGACAGTGCTCCTGGGAAGACCAGCTTTACTTTGCATGCCTTGTATGTCAGTCGGGTCGTGTAAGGAGGAAAGCACCACGTTTTATAGCTATCCTGTGGTACTGAAAGAGATTATTTAGCTCATCCACCTCAAAAATCAAGTAGTAACCAACTGTTGAAGTATGATTACCCCTGAGCTTTCACTGTCTGTGTTAATTACACAGAACTGTTTAGTGGGAGGTGTCCCTGCCCATGGCAGGGGGGGTGGAATTAGATGATCTTAAGGTCCTTTCCAACCTTAACTGTTCTATGATTCTAACTGGAGATAAGTGACACACTTTGCTAAATTGACCACTTTTTTCTGTCTCAACATTGTTTGGGCTTTGGTAAGAAGGAAGATATTAATAAGGACAGTCTCCTGGAGTTCAGTTCTTTTTTGTGTAGCTTAATTTTTTCCTACTAGTTTGTAGAGGTATTTGCAGAGGTGGCCTGGGTGGGTCTGCAGCACTCAAGCATGATCTTAAACAGGATTAGACTATGTTGCATAATATCAGCAAATATCACTTCCTTCTGCCAACCTCCCATTTTCAGTTCCTGCAGCAAAAGAGGAAGATACAGGACTGAAAACAGGTTAATGGCTTTTTACAAAGGCAAACTGACATTTCTTCCTAATAACGCTCTTATCAGAAGTATTTTGGTTCGGTTCCCCGTGAAAGAAGAAATCATCCTAATGCAAATAAAATGGTACTAAAATTTCAGTTGAAGAATTCCACTCTGGCAATTTTATAAACACATTACAGTGGAAGGTGCCAGTAAAATTTAACTATAGTGTTCCACATACCTACAATATAATATATGATATCAACTATGAAAACCTAAGTCAATTAATAGTTGTGTAAGTATATGAAGTCTGGTCTGCAGCAGGCTTTAGGTAGAGTTCTTGTTGGAGTTAACAGATGTCACTTCATGTATATGTGAAGTAAGACATGACTAATAATACAAGTACATTAAAAAGCAACATAGGAATTGTTATTCTGGAAACGTTAACTTTATCATTATCTGATTTTGGCTTTTAGAAATGTAAATAGAGTGTTCTTAAAAAGTATTTCTATATGTCTTATGTTTATGACTGTTTTGTGGTCTAATTAATTCCTGTGACAGTTTCACAGTATAACTTTAAAATTGAGAAGTCTGAACACATTTATCAAAGTATTCTTTCTCAGAATAGCCTGAAGCCAGGCTGGACATTAGGACTGCTTTCCTGAAATAAGGCCCAAATACCATTATAAAAAGAAGAGCTGCACAATTAATTTCATGTGGTGTGTTCCTTTCTCTTTCCCTTGGGTCTATAAGCAAATAGTGTAATCTAAACAGAATGGAAATTTCTTATTGCACAAGTGCAAAACAGATACTCTAATTATTTGTAACCCTTTTTATCGATTGTTTGTTTCTTAATTGCCCCCAGGCTAGCTTTTATAGAGGAATAGCCACCTGGGTCGGTTTTGCTTCTGAATTTATGGGCAAATAGAATAATTTTTTAAAACTACTTTGCTAACAGAAGAGAAGCTAGCATGGCATGCCTTTACACTGCAGCATAGTTAAAACATAAAGAGAGGCATTTTACAAAATGTAGAATGTCATGTAGAAGTGAGGGATTTGAATGAAAATCTGATTTCTTATAGGAGCATGCTACGTAACACAAATGTTCCTGCAGTGCATTTCCCCATATTTATTTGCAGTATATAATGGAAGTTCTGGAAACATTTTTTTTGACTGACTAGTATGAAATTAATCTAATATGACTTATTAATGTCTATTAAGATTGGAAAGTATTGTCTGAACTACAGTCCTTCCCCACCCTGCAATTTCAAAAAGTTTTTTTGCCAGCTAAGAAATTTTGAGTAATGGAGCAGAATAATCCTTTTGGTGTACAAGCTGTTCAAACCTGGATGAGAAGACATGAAGAAAAAAGAATGCAATATGTGAATTAACCGGAAAATTACTGATGGATTCAACTGTCAGGAAAGGTGTTAACAGTTCAGTTGATCATAATTGACAAGTGCTGGCATGAATAAGAAGTGCTTACAGTAGACAGCTCTTTGGCAGAATGAGACATACACAATTATCAGAAGCTAAAGTTTAACACCTTGAAATTAAAAATAGATTGCAAATCCTTTTATCAAGTAAAGCGATTTGAACATTGGAACTACTGAACAAGGGTTGTATTGCATCACTGAAGATCAGATCAAGATCCCATATTTGCTTGTGATATTTTGGAATTTTTTATATAGCTGTTGGAAGCATGACTAGGGATAACTGCAAGAGAGTCTGTGATCTGTTTCCTGCTTGGGAGCTGCTTAGCTCATCACAAGGGGTCCTTTAAAGTATCTGTGACATTCAGCATCACAAAGCAGCACAAAGCAGCAGGGTATCACGAGGTGTAGCACCAGCAGAAACCCTGCTCTCTATGGATGACATTAAATGAGCAAAACACGTAATGGTAATGTTTGGTTTACTTACCAGGTCTACTGTTGTTCAAACTAGAGCTTTGCAATTACAGCTGTTCACATTAGGATGCTGTATGCTCTTAATATACATTATTCTGTTCTGCAGAGTATTCCAAGCATAGACGTTGTCACAGCATATGTGGGGAAGGTACTATGGGAAAGTGATGAAAGTAGCAATTCTCTTTTTAATTACTCCAGGCAGGCTCAGAGCTGTGACAGATGAGATCCAGCAGATCCAAGAGATAGACTTCCTAGATGGCCTGGCCTGTCCTTCCGCAGATTATTGTCCCCAGGGCAGAGCTGGCAGAAGGGAAATGTCGAAGTGCACAGTCTAGCATCTTATTTCAGGCCTCCCTTCACAATGCTGAATCCTAGCAATATTCTTGTAGCTGCTGCACAGTGACAGTACATGTCCCACACAGTCACTGTACTCCTTCCAGCAAGGTAAGGTTGCATAATCCTAAGGTTTATATACACAGAAAATATCTTTCCGTCAAAACCATTATTCTACTATCAAAATCTTCCAGTAACAACTCTTGCACTTGAATCTGACATTTTAAGAGTAATTTTATGTTTCAGTAGGTTTGCACGTTTAGCTATGCTTTAATTGAAATGGCATTTTCAATCTGGAAAATTTCAAAGAAAGCTGTTTTCTTCAGTATTTCTACAATGCTGGATAATAAGGTCATTGTGCAGAGTGTACCTTCTCAGATTTTTGTTGAATTACTATGTGTATCTAATTCAACACTGTCAATCCTAATATTTTCATTGCTATTTCTTCATAATCTGCTTCTCTTAGGAGTCAGAATAAGACAAAATGTGTATGCTCTTCCTGGATTACAAGTTTGCTACCACTCTGACTTCAGTTTTCTATCTTAAACTTCTAGTGGTTTTAATTTGGGTATTTGAAAAATTTGGGAACAAATAACTTCCTTGCTCTGGTTTGAGAAAACTCTGCTATTTGTATCAATGATTACAGGGAGAAAAACTGTTCAGAGATATGGGAAGCATTTAAAAATGCATTTATTAGCAAGGATCCTTGCAACATTCTACCTAAGGACTACGAATTATTTATCAACCTGTCATTGCACACAATTCCACCTAACAAGGTAATGATTATTAATGTTATGTTAACAGTCCTGTGACACCGAGAAAATTTTCCATGACACAGTTCAAAATTGACCAAGAGTCATTATGTGGCTGACTCATGATTCATTATTTTTGGCCTGTCTGTAGTTTACAAATGAGACTCTGGCTTGATGGCATTTTTCAATGTGTTTGGCTGCATTTATTTTGTGCAGTAACTTTTCAGCAACTTCTCCGGTTTTGTACGAAGATCCCCCATTTTTCCTGCTGTACTGGGTGCTTTGTCATAGTTCCTGAACCTCCACTTCTACTTTTCCTCAAGTTAGGTGCTCTGCCTGCACCTGCTGTGCCTGCCGTTGCCTTTTGCTTCCACTCCTCACAGCCAAGTGTCAGGGCAATGACATGTTAAACATTGACATGTTAAACAAACATAAGCAGAAACGGACAGGACTCCATTATGTGCTAGAAAACAGTAAGGGTTTGATGTGCTGGCAGTTGCAGAGAACTGTGAAAGTGCAAAAACCACAGCTCTTCACACCATCAGAATGTGTGCTTTGGCCTTCTCTAAAAGGTGGTACTTTAAAGCAGTTTTACATTTAGCTCAGTTATTCCTTATCTCTAAATGATACAAGTGAAAACAACAAATACTCGTGTCAACATAGCTTAATTCATGAAAGAGTTCTGCAAGCACAGAAATAACAGCTAGATGAATGATTTTGTTCACACCATAAGCCAACATAGTAGTGTGAGAAAATCTTGGTAAAATATATCTGCCTTATAAATGTCTTCCCCTTTTTCTCGCTTTTCCTAAAACTGTCTGCTGAGGAAGGCAAAGCTAGGCCTAACTATACTTAATATAAGTCTATATCCATTCCTATCATGGTATAAATACTCCTCAAGCCTCTAGTGATCAGAATTTACATCACTGTTAAAAAAACCAAAAAAACCCAAACAACTTCGTTCCACTAAAGATACAGGTAACATTTCAGGTTATTAGCTTGATTTTGAACGAATACCAAAACGTGTTTAAAACTGTTTTCAGCGCCCCATAATCTCAGTGTGTCCATGCCCAAGTGATGTTTCATTTGTTCATTTCTTCTTCTTCCCCCCCCCCCCCCCCTTTTTTTTTTATGTAGTCTCTCTTCTGGGAAAATAATCATCTGCTAGTCAACAGCTTTGCTAGCAGGGGCCGGCGCTACATGTCTCTGGCTGATACTCTGTTTGGCTTCTTTGGAGATTTTCTAAACTGGTGTGGGCAGGCAAACAGCATTGGTAAGATAATGTGTACTATATTAAACATCTGTGTTTAAAACCACAATGGAGAACAACTGCTGTGTTCTGGAGGACCTAATTTTGCTCTTACTCCATGTAAAATCAGAGTGAGCTCACTTCATGTAAAATCAGAGTGAGCTTACTCCATGAAAAATCAGAGTGAGATTCACTATCTCATTCTCTTCTGTTTTGTGTGAACATGTAACATTGTGGTCAGGGGAGCACACAGTGAAATCTAAACAGTGCGGCACAGGAGATAAACCTCCTTCTTAATCCTCTGAATGCAGAGCTCTGTGCATCCCAGATACAGTGTTATAGCTGTTTTAGCTAAATTACTGAATCCACAGAATTTTCACTGTTTACATGAAGTGCACAGGATGGAAAATGATAGAAAAAAATACAACTGTCAGCTTTCAGTGTTGTGTCAGACCATCTTGTATGTTCAGTAAGTAATGCACAAATATATTTAATTGCTTTCTAATATCACTTTTTTACAGTCCTAATCATCTCTCTAATAGCATAAATCACATGCCTTCCTACAGAACTGGACTATGAATCCTGCCCTACCACAGAGGAATGTGAAAACAACGCAGTGGAATCTTTCTGGAGGATGGCCTCAATCACTGTAAATAATTCATTAGTGCTGACTTCATACATTACTGAGTGTGTCCTGGGTGATTCAGGGGAAACATCATGGGATCAGACCAGGTTTAAGTTTGTAACTGTGTTAGATTAGTTCCTCTGATACAAATACACTGGTTTACACTGGGTGTGGTGTTCTAGCAAGAGCAACCTAACTTTCACCTTAGCTAGATAATGTGTTAAAATGCTGTTAGCTTCATTAGTATGTATTAAGCATAATTCACAGATCAAACCCAACACAGAGTGCCAAAAAGCTTTCTTCCTATGCTGAAGAGACTATTTATAGGTGTGAGAAAATAGTTTTAGATGTATTAATTTAACGCTCTGGCTATTTAGTTCTTATTCTCTGTACTGCAGTGATCTGCTAGGGTTCTAGTTTAGTATTATTTTCACAATTCTGATATGTCTTCTTGATAAAACTCTTTCTTTGGTCGTTGATGCTTGCTATACAATACCAAGTCATGTAACAAATCTGTAAGTTCTAAAAAAAAAACATGTTATCTGTTGCAGTATGCACAGCACAGTTCTGGGGTGATACATGTCTTGTTGAATGGTTCTGCAGTTGGAGGAGCTTATCCAGAGCCAGGGTAAGAAAACTGACTTATTTATGTGTAAATGGCCTGATGCCTGCAAAAAAAAGGGTCAATCAGTTGTTTGGGTTTTCTCCTGCATGGGAAGGTGGCTAAAAGAACCTGTTGCATCAAAGTCTGCTGTGTTGTGGGGACAACTGTTAATTGTCCCCAAATGTAGGAATTAATATGAAATGGATGGAAACAATCCTTTGGAATCCTGCATTTTATAAACTGCTGTGGCAAGCAGGATAAATGTTCTTCGAAAGCATCCTTTAAGTAAGCCCACATACTGTGGCAAAATGTGCATGTTTTCAAAAAGATGATCATTACAAAATTTCTATTCAGAGACATCTCCAAGGAGAGGCCATCATTACACGGAGTGTAGCCTCTGTCAGGCCTAGGAACAAACTTGGTATTTTCTATAGGGAAAATACTTTTACCTGCTATTTCTTCAAGATCAAAAGAAGAGGTAGAAGAAAGATTTGGCTTAAGAAAGCAAAAAAGACTTATTGAGAAAAATGATAGCAAGGATTAGCTTCCTATTCTCCTTATTCCCTCATATATTAAGGACAGATGTTTTTTTCTGATTTACAAATGTAGCACTTAGTTCATCTAGCTTATGTATAAAATTTACTGTAAAAGTACACCCTTGAGAACTTTTACTGAATATGTGGCTATAATGACTTTCCAGCTTTGATGAAAAATACATCTTTCCTTACCTCAGGTAACTACATCTTTCCTTACCTTGAGTCCTGTGCAAGGCAGACAAAAAAACCCATGTTTTAAAGACCCATAGAACAGATCCTCCTCCTGTGTGTTCACTGTGGACTAGAAGTAATCATTGAAAAGTTAATTTTATCTCCATATAGGAGAGAAGCAAGAACCATCTGTTCCAAAACACCTACTACCTACTTACCTCCATCCCTCAAAGGTCCGTCTCTGTACACAGCTTTCAACTAATTAAGAAGACATATGATCCTCTTGGGTTAGGCAGGTTGTCAGCTGGGATCAAGTCTTCTGCACATGACAATAGCTGGCAGCAGAGCAGAGCCAAGAATCCAGCATAGATGCCTTATTTCAGAAACCTATTCACTTTTTTTCTGTTAATTTACAGATTCCTTATTTCACAATACACATAAATTAATTCCACCAGTTCCCTGGGTTGCGTGTTTGGAGGTATTGTAACCAGTGAAATCTCCACCACTGGAACACAGACTGCCCAGAAAAAAAAAACAAAACAGTTTGTTCCTCCGTCTGTTTTCTTGCTGTGTATCTTCTGGTGTATTTATGACTGAACTTCTTTAAGAGATCTTGTTTGAAAGAGGCTTGGAGTTGAATAATTAGTATCAGAAGGTAATCTGAAGGATCCGCCTGACTTCCTAAACATCTCGCTGATACATTTTCAAGCATTTCAAAGCCACTCCCAAAGTTTATCCTGGATTACATTTTGTGCACTTAAATCATCACCTCTTACCAATTCAGTTCGGATTTCTTTCTCACTTCACTACAAAATAACTTTGCTCATGTAGTTGGCAGACTTCTTTAATTATATTAGCCAGTTCAAAAATAGGTATTCTGAAGTCAGGGGTACATTGTTCCTCCACAGTTTCTGACTCTAGTTAAAGATTCATTTGTACTTTGGAGGAAGCTGCATTTTTCCTGGCAATAACATACATGTGAATGAGCAAGTGTGTTAAAAATAATTGAAATCTTAGTCTTTGGTTAAATTTTCGCAATGTGTTTAAGACAGGTTTGGACACCCTGAACAGATAGGCAAATCTGCTGTTGTTGCTACTGGTCTCTAGTTAGCCATGCTTGTCCAGAGCAGGCAACTGCTGCTATCTGCCTCCTCATGTTCCACTTCATAGAATCATAGAACAGTTAGGGTTGGAAAGGACCTTAAGATCATTCAGTTCCAACCCCCCTGCCGTGGGCGGGGACACCTGACACTAAACCATGTCACCCAAGGCTCTGCCCAACCCGGCCTTGAACACCACCAGGGATGGAGCATTCACAACCTCCTTGGGCCACCCATTCCTGTGCCTCACCACCCTTACAGTAAAGAACTTCCTCCTTATATCCAATCTAAAGTTCCCCTGTTTAAGTTTGAACCCATTACCTTTGTCCTATCACTACAGTCCCTGAAGAAGAGTCCCGCCCAACATCCCTATAGGCCCCCTTCAGATACTGGAAGGCTGCTATGAGGTCTCCATGCAGTCTTCTCTTCTCCAGGCTGAACAGCCCCAACTTTCTCAGCCTGTCTTCATACGGGACGTGCTCCAGTCCCCTGATCATCCTCGTGGCCCTCCTCTGGACTTGTTCCAACAGTTCCATGTCCTTTTTATGTTGAGGATACCAGAACTGCACACAATACTCCAGGTGAGGTCTCATGAGAGCAGAGTAGAGGGACAGGATCACCTCCTTCGACCTGCTGGTCACGCTCCTTATGATGCAGCCCAGGATACGGTTGGCTTTCTGAGCTGTGAGCTCAGACTGAAGCTGGCTCATGTTCATTTTCTCATCAACCAGCACCCCCAAGTCCTTCTCTGCAGGGCTGCTCTGAATCTCTTCTCTGCCCAACCTGTAGCCGTGCCTGGGATTGCTCCGGCCCAGGTGTAGGACCTTGCACTTGGCATGGTTAAACTTCATAAGGCTGGCATCAGCCCACCTCACAAGCGTGTCAAGGTCCCTCTGGATGGCATTCCTTCCCTCCAGCGTATCAACCGAACCACACAGCTTGGTGTCATCGGCAAACTTGCTGAGGGTGCACTCAATCCCACTGTCCATGTCACCAACAAAGATGTTGAACAGGACCAGTCCCAACACCAATCCCTGAGGGACAGCACTTGATACTGGTCTTCAGCTAGACCTTGATCCATTGACCACAAGTCTTTGCATGCAGCCATCCAGCCAGTTCTTCATCCACTGAGTGGTCCACCTATCAAATTGATGTCTCTCCAATTTAGAGACAAGGATGTCGTGTGGGACAGTGTTGAATGCTTTTGCTTCTCCAGAAGGTTAAACTTTCTAACTCCATGAGCAGGTGTTGGCTGGCTGTCAACAGATACTGACAACCACTATGCCTTTTGCTTCCCTGCCAGAGCACCAGTAGTTTGCCTGCAGGCACCAGGAGGGTAATGCTGTGATCACATTGCCACTGCTGGTCTCATCCAGGAGGTAACAGCTAACAGTCCCTTCTAGTCTGGGGGGTATTAGAGCATTGAAAGTGGCTAAGAGACACTGCATCCCAGAGCTAGACATTTAAGAAGATCCATAATGGGCACACATCTAGGCTCAGATTTGGACTGTACATTCAGTGCAGACACAGACATTATAAGCTTTCTGATGAATAATAAAAAATGAGAGCAATTATAAGGTTGGAAATCATTACAGTATGTTTTGCTGGAATGGTTTGAAATCTGTGGCTTTGAAATGCCTGCCTCTCACAAAAAAAAAAAAAAATCAGTTTACAGATACTAAAATAATCCTTTAGATTTGGCATCTTTAGTTACCAGGAAGAAGTTCTTTACTGTGAAAGTGGTGAGACACTGGAATTGCCCCAAGAAGTTGTGGCTGCCCCATCCCTGGAAGCGTTCAAGGTCAAGCAGGACAGGGCTTGGAGCAACCTCCTCTAATGGAAGGTGTCCCTGCCTGTGGCAGGGGGGTTGGAACTGTATGAGCTTTAAGGTTCTTTCCAACCCAAACCGTTCTGTGATTCTGTGATTTAGTTGCCACTTTATTATCTTCTTTTAATTATTACTTAAATACCTACACAAAGCAATAAAGTGGAAGATTTCCTAAGCTAGGGGTAGACAAGGCTAGAACTTTCTCCTTTATGGTCTTACATATCCTAGACATGCATACTTCACATTAATGTTGCTGTGATTTTCTACATTTAAATTTATTTCTCTTGTAGAAAAAAATGTGTTTTGTGTTTACCTTAGTTACTGGACTGTTCTTATCTCAACCAATGGGAGTTACATTCTTTCAGTTCTCGTCCCTATTTCTCCAGGAGTGGGAGGGAAGAAGGGGGGAGGGGGGGGGGGGGTGGGTGTGGGTGTTTGTGTGAGCGAGCGGCTGCGTGGTTCTGAGTTACCGGCCAGGCTTAAAGCATGACAGTGGGAACTCCACAAGTTGAGATAAGAACAGTCCAGTAACTAAGGTATAACACAAAACTACTACTGCTACCACCAATAATAATAATGATAAGGGAAATAACAAGGGAAGAGAACATAAAACTAAAAGGGGAAAAGGAAAAGAAAACAATAAACACAAGTGGTGCACAATAAAACCACTCACTACTCGCCGGCCAATACCCAGCCTGACCTGAGCAGCAATCTGGGCCTTCCAGGTGACTCCCTCCAGGTTATACACTGGGCATGATGTGCTGTGGTATGGAATACTTTGGCCAGTTTGGGTCAGGTGTCCTGTCTGCTTCCTCCCGGCTTCCTGTGCCCCTCCTTGCTGGCAGAGCATGAGACTGAAAAGTCCTTGATCGGAGTAAACATTACCTAGTAACAACTAAGATCATCGGTGTTATCAGCGCTGTTCTCAGACTAAAGTTGAAAACACAGCACTGTGCCAGCTACTAAGAAGGAGAAAAATGACTGCTACTGCTGAACCAAGAACATGTCTAAAAGCAGTAACCACAAGAGTGACCTTTTTATATTTTTACTAATTATCAAATGTTTTGGGGTTTTTTTTGCATTTTGAAAAGTTCCCTTCATTCTGGTTCACCTCTTAAGTTGTAACTTTTCTTCAGCTATCTTCTAAGATAAAGAATGTGAAAACAAATCTTCTGATTAAATGCCTTTGACCTTTGAGGGCATTCAGAATGTGAATCAGTTCTTCTACTCTGTGGTGTGTCTAATTGTAATCATTAGATATAAATGTAAAATTGAGAAAGCCCATATCCTACAGCAGGATCAAAGCCTTCATTAATGCAAAGGGGAAAAGGTTATTTATTTTACTTGTTCTTTATAGTTCTGAAAATTTGTTTCTTGAATTAGTTTTTTTGCAGATTATGAAATACCTAATCTTCAGAAAGACAAAATCTCACAAATTGCCATCTGGGTTGTGGATGATATTGAAGGACCAGATACGTAAGTTATGTCGTCCATAAAGATCAATTTATCCTATTTAGACCTGTATATAAAAATTCACCTTATCTTTCTGTTTAGTTATATTTGCGTAGCAGTTGCAATAGCCTGAGGGGTAATGGTTTTAAACTAAAAGAGGAGAGATTCAGGCTGGATGTGAGGAAAAAATTTTTTACAATAAGAGTGGTAAAACCCTTGCACAGGTTGCCCAGAGAGGTGATGGATGTGCCATCCCTGGAGACATTCAAGGCCAGGCTGGATGTGCTTCTGGGCAACCTGATCTAGTTGAAGATATCCCTGCTCATTGCAGGGGCTGGACTACATGACCTTTGAAGGTCCCTTGTAGCCCAAACTGTTCTACGATTCTATGATTCTATGGTTATTTTGTTATGATTACTTTAGTCATGAGTGTTTACAGACCAATGGGTAAGTAGCCTTAATACTTTTAAGTAGCCTTTTAGAAACCTCAGTAGGTTCTGTACTATGCTAAATTTTGTTTTTGTAATTAGACCATAATTTAGAAAATCATTGCTAGACACAGAAGCTGCATTTTAGGATTGTTTCTGGGTTGGTTTTTTTTCCTTTCTCCTTGTGTTTTTTCTGTTCTGTATTCAAGAAAGAGAGCAATTGCCTAACAACAAGAATAATTCTAATTTATTATAACCAGCTTATTCTGTAGAGACAGCTGGCATCAACTTTAGCACCACCTAAATAGCTGCCAAAGAATATTACAAATGAAACACTCGTTATTATTTTACAAAAGTAACTAGCTCTTTTTCTGTTTGTCTAGTGAAATATTAGATGTGGGAATATTGATTAATAGAATCTACAAGTGCTACAGTGACAGAAGCTAACCTTCCAGTATCTGCAAACTGAGTATAAAATATTAAATGACTGTAAGAAAATGAAGATTTATAAATTGGATTGTACACCAGTTTTCTGTGGGTGTTAAGGAATACAGAAGAGCTAAAATAATGGGGATTTACTTTACTAATTCCATCAGGTTCAGTGAAAGGAAATGCAATAATACTAAAATCCTTTCTCACAGAGATTCCTGTGGAACTCATACTGTAGGGAAACTAGAAAACAGATTGAAAACCCTTGGTTATGATGTCATCTGCACTGACAATTACAAGTAAGTGAAATTCCTTCGTTACTATAGTGTATATGCAGAAGCATCTCATCTATTCTAAATGGTTTCTTACCTTTTAAAATGCAATTAATCTTGTGTCTTCAGTAAGAGACTGATCTATTGGAGAGCTGATGTCACATTTTTCAGACATGGCAATTTTTCAGCCATGAATTGAGCAGAACACTACTACTATTGTATAATTGTATAATTAATTACCCTTGTATAATTGTATAATTAATATCAGGCACAGAAGATGGCCTCATGTATTCCACTTCATTATAAAATCTATATTTGGATTGAAAATCCAAACAACATTTAAAAACACAAGTAATCTGCAGGATTACTAGTTATTCACAGTAGTATTCACAGCTCTAGTTATTTACACTAGGTTGCAAGATAAATATAATTGAAGGGAAGCTTCAGACTTGATAATACTGTTGATTTTGTCTTGGATTTTTTCATTTGTTTTCTTCATTTTTCTGCCTGGAAGATGCTAAATAAAATGATATCTTCACAGGTCTGTAATGTTCTTACTTTGTGTGGATTATCCTGATGATTCTAAGTGTACCCTTTCATCGTAAGTAAAAGAAGTTCAGTCCATCCTCAGTGTCATTACAACCAAATAACGCAGAAGGCAGCAGTTCAACGTGTTCCACCTCTACCATCTATTATCTATCACCCATTCACAATATGCAGTATTCTTGAATTTATTACTTACTGTGTATTGAGTGAGCAGTTTCTATCTACAAATTGCACACAATTGTCTGTGAGCACCTGCTATTCAAAATTGGGTGTTAATCAGTTCATTGATCGCACAATCACGCTGTGTATCACTGGTGGTATGGATGAAGTTTGTATATATCAGTGTTTTGATGCAAAATCTATTACAAATTTGAAATTGCTTTCATTGATATTCTTCTGTGAATAATGAAGTTGTAGGTCAAATGGCAACAGTTCTAAAGGGCATTTCTCCAGCTACTAGAACTTTCAATTCCAAATTTTGAGGATTTTTTTTTTTTAATCTTTCATTTTTTGTGGAAACCCAATTTCTGTATTTTAATGTCTTTACTTTGGGCCAGTAGGTTATCTGCAGAGAATGCATATTATATCCAACATGTAACTTTCTCAGTTAGCAAGCATCACTCCCAAACTAGGTTTTATAGTTTCCCTTTCTGTCTGTATTTTGCTTTATTATAAAAAGAGGATTAAATTGGTTTATTATGTATTTCAGTAAATTTACAGTAAAGATGACTGTTTTCAATTATAACTAAATTTCTTAATCTATATGCTGCTGCATGTGTAGGTACACATAAGGTACTTGAACATCCAAATCTGAAAACTTCCTCACAGTTTGGAAAGTAGAAGGATATATGGATGCATAAAAGTTGTTCTTGAGTTACATTATTTTTATGCATAATCCATACATTTGGCCGTATCCTATCTCCTACTGTCCTTTCTGCCCTAATTCAAGCACCTGCAAATCTTTTATATGTTAATACCTATGTAATACTGCAATGATAACTTCTGCTATGAAAAGCCTGTTTTGCTACTCCTGGTTATGGCAGCAGAGAGGTGCAACTCCTACTAGCCTGACTTTGGTTGTGTGGCAGTAATGCTTCATGCAGTACAGAAAAGGTGTTGTACATCACTTTCTGTAGCATATGATCCATTTTGAATACACCCTTACAAAGTGTATACCTTACACCCCCTGTTCCTGCTGGTCACTGAAAGTTTTTACTCACCTTGTCATGCAACATTTATTCTTACATCCAAATTATATCCCCGCACCAACCTATAAATGTGTGCTGAAAATGGTTGCATTTTATGTATCAGATAGCTCTGGACTCCTAGGTAGTAGATCATAGAGCAGGCTTCCAGTCCTGTTTGGCATTTGTTTGCTGCTAAATCCACCACTGCTTGCGTGGTGGATTAAAATAGGGTTTCCTTGTTCTGCCAGAGAATGGTAAGGCTTTTGTTCATATGTCAAAAGAAAATACAGCTGCCCTATGCAAAATTGCAGTTGTGAACATGGTGACAATATTAACAAATTGGAGGAAAAGCACTTTACAGGACTTATATAAACTTGTGAACTCCTAACAGAATTTTTTCTCTTCTCCCAGGTTTTAAACCATTTCCCTCAAAGTTTTGTGAGGAAACCTGGATGAGAAGGCTTTTGGAAACCATTAATGTCTTTTTCCTTTCACCTAAGGGATGAGAATACCAGTTCTCCAGTGTTACCACATAACGCTTGCAGTATGTAAACTGGGGAGCAGCCACCCCTTCCTTTCCATCCACATTGGTCCTTAAATTAACCTAATCACTAGTGTATTCTAAGCACCAGTCTCATACTCTCCTGGGGTAGCTACTAAGCAGCTCAGCTATCATCCTCCTTAGGAAGTTTCTTTGCTTCTTGCCTTCCTGAGCCTTCTATCCCCTCCTGTATAGATGGCAGTGCAAGAGGCTTGATTCACTTCTTATCTATGCTATCCCTAATCAGGTCAGAGTCTGAATGCTATCATTGCCTTTCCCTGAAATTTACATAGCTAACATACTTCAAGCCAATGAATACTTGCACTCTTCCCCAAATCACTTCTCTGCAATAAATAACACTGCCATTGAAATTAGCTGCCCTTATGCAGATGTATATAAATTATTTGATGATTATCTTCTAGATCTGTTTTCTCTGTGGATGGATCTCTGCTTTCTGACAGTCCATTAACTGATATGGGAACAGTTTGGTCAGTAGGGATGTCACTATTAAGAACATGTTACCTGTCAAGAAAGGTTTCCCTTGTAGTGTGTGCTCAGTGTATACACTTCTAGAGTAAATAGTGAGACTAGGTATGCAGGCTCTGTTACATCCCCTTTCACAATGGCTATTTGCTGTTACAGTATTAATAGCTGCCTTCTCAGCCTCTGGAGAATAATGTCCCGAGCCACAAAGCAAAGTTGTCCAAGTGACATTTTTTGTTTCCACAATTCCTGTTACATTGGGATACCAGAGGAGAAGGCTGTGTCAGGGTAGCAGAAGGATGGCCTAGAAGGTGCAGTAATATACCTGGAGCTTCTTGGGTAGCAATAGTGGCTCTTAACTCCTCTGCAAACTTGATCTATGGCCCTGTTGAGTTAAAATTTGGATTTGGGCTTCTTGTCACGCAGACAACTTGTAAATAAAAAACTACCCACTAGATGGCATAGATGGCTTACAAACATGAGTAGAAAGGAAGCCAGGTGCAACCTATTAGTAGAGGTATTTATTACTTGCATTATTGCAATGTCAGGGGGGGCTTAGAAATGGATCTGGATACTATTGAATCAACTGCTGTAAAAATAGACCTCTAGGACCACTGCTGTCTAGAACTGCTTTATACAATCTCAGGCATAAGGCCAGAGACAGTAAATGGATGTGGAGAAACAAGGAGGATTGGGTATTCGGGTAGAAAGAAGTGTTCCCAGGGCTTTTTTTGCACAAATATCCTGTTTATAACATTGTGACAGCCAAAGGGAATCTGGTGACAAGCTCTTACAAAGAAACTTCTAGCTTAGCACTTGGACTGCAAACTTCATCCTTGGCTACAACCGCCTGATATTTAAAAGAATTCTAACTCAGCTCTGTGCTGTGAACATCCTGTTTGTTTTTTTTCTTTAGATCTGCACCAGCAGCACAAAGAGGACCTATATCTTCAGACAGAGGAGGCAGCTGGAACAAGCTCATGTTTGTTTCTTTTGTAAGCTTTTTGTTCAGATTTGCTTTAGTGTAGTAAGTTAATCAACTACATCCATATCCTCTGTTTGCCTTAGCTGGCTATAAATTTGGCTTCAACTAATTTCTAAATGCAGTTTCACCCTATTTCTTGGACTACCACACCTGCATATTTAAACCATACATACTTCTATTCAAATACCAACTACTGTTGGTATAAAAAATTATTCTACTGCCGCTAGAAAGCCTCACCCTTTATTTCCTTTTCTTGAGTCCATTGCTCTTTCCTTTTATTCTGCAGAATTAAACTGAGAATAATACTTCCTATTAATGTATTGCAGAAAGACAAGTGAAACTGTGCTTGTCATACATTTTCCACACAGCTTGTTTGTGAAATCAATCCTAGCATTTGGCCTTGGAAACTTAATGTCTGATTATTGTGTTTAGGGAAGTAGAAATATGAATTCAGATGGAAGAGAGCTTTGATCGCTCAATAAGTGGTCTGGAACTTGAGCCAAACTTATCTGAAACTGTTGTACAATAAGATTCTGGCTTGCATATTTGCACATAGTATTTTCCCACTTAATATCGATTGCTTCATCATCCACACAGCTGTTCTTCAGCTGGTTACTTTCTGGCCATGGCATAGCCTATAGTCAGGAAAACCAGTTCTAGAAAGTTCCACATTTTTTCCATGATGATGTGATGGTTGATCATCGTGAATGTGATTTATGGCATATCAAATTCAGACAAGAACCTGCCAAGTCAGGCATCTGCCTGCTTGCAGTGAACTCAGTTAGCATGCTTCAGAATATATTGAGGAGAGAGCAGATGCCGTCTTGAAGGTCCCTTAAATTACTTTTGTGAATTATCTAAGAATTCCAACTAGTTATTCCTCTAAACCACCAAGAAATGCAGCTACCAAGATGATACATAAATCTTTGGAAAAAATTATTGTTCTTCTAGAAAATAACTTTAAGTAGAATTCTGTTGCACATTTTGTTAGGTTCTGTGTAATTTATATGTGTTGTCAGAAAATGGGATAGGATGTTCCTGTTATCTCAGTACATCTGATTTAGGGCTCCATAGTAGATCTGCATCCTTTCAGTCCCTGGTACAACAATATCACATTGTATGTTTGAAAGATAAACTACCTACAGTATGTTGTTGTTGCTTATTTGTCTGCCTTCCATTCCTGTAATAACCTTTAATTTGGTTTTAATGCAAATCCCTTTATATTATACACATAGTTGCATTTGCCTGTGTCACAGCTGGGTTTAGGCTCCAGCTTGAAGGTTTTTTTGTTTCCACTTCAGACACTTGCAGAAGTACTGAAATAAGAAGTTACAGACCTTTCAAAATCTGGGCTTTCAAAATCAGCTTAAAATTGTTTCCTACCTATGCTGGAACATTAATCCTTTGATTAGTCCCTTCAACATCCTCCTCATTTTTATTGCTTGTTTGATGCTGTCCTTTACAGCAGCTGCCAGAATAATGAGAGGTATCAGAGACATCTCAGGTAACTGAACCCAAGCAATTTTGATCAGTCTTTGAAGATCACATCATGACAAAATTTGGACTATAGGCTGTAGAGATAGTGCTCAGAGACAGGTGTCTAAGCCACCATTTGCTTTAGTGTTGTCCTACCCACTGACCTGTGCATTATAGTGTGTGCGGGATTCAGAGAATAGCTTAATATCACTAACAAGCCGTGTGCCTGAGGCAACTTCCACCCACAAGCCAAGCATCCCAGCTGGCCAACTTTTGCTTTCCAGCCTCTAGATGCAATCCACTCCAGCAGCACAGTTGGTGCTGGCCAATACATATGATACCAAGCACATTGTAGGAAGTGCTAAATAATTCTGTTTGGAAAAAAAGTAAAATACAAAATAGGGTAGATACAATTCAAATTTGAAGTCATTTACTGCATAACCTTGTATCAAGAGCAACACAATTAGAAGCCTATTGCAGTGTTATTTCTAACATTCTTGCCTCTTTTCCTGTTGCTTCAACTCAATAGCAGTTTTTTCTTCCAGTATCATTTGAATAAAGTGTCTCAAACTTAATGGAAAAGCTTGGGAAGATCCGTAAAGATTTTTACCTGACCAACTACTATAGCTGGGGAAAAACAGGCGGCAAAGTTTTAGATACATAGGCTTCCTGATATCTAAGAGACAGCAAATTTTAAGCTGAGTGAGGATCGTTTGTTCTGAGTTTAATATAATGGTTTTAATCTGTATGAAAGAACATTGTGACTGGAATCTCAGAAGCAGAGGGGCAGATGTGTCAGCAAAGTGAGAAACAATAAGGTCAGTTGTTACTCCCAGAGGGAGCGAGAGACATGAACAAAAAGTTGTGAGCAAGAGAATCCAGATATCTCTATTTCTATGTTTACAAAGTATACAAATAGTGCTATTTACACATGTATTTTACACTTCTGTGGTGAGAATCGAGCAGGTATGCCTGTGCTCTGGCTTGAGCACTCAGTAACTGCTCTGATTAGCAATGTCTCGTGTAACAGCTGTGCAAAATTTGGGGAAATCATAATGTCCAAAAGGCATCTGCCCTTCTCCATAATGTTCAGCAGGGTGCTTCAAATATGTATTCAGAATGTTTCAATCATTCCTACTTGTACTAGCAATACTGCAAAACCAGCTGTCTCCAGGCCTGAAATCAAGGGAGGAAGTGTTTCACCGAAAACGTTACAAATATCACTTCATTTTAAATCCAGTTGGATGCCATAATCCTGTATAGGTCTGTTAATATCCAACTAAAGGCAAATGAAAGCAGCATGTACAGGAACATTACAAGGTGTTCTGCATTTCTGCAGACAGACCTGTGGAAGCTCCTGCTACTAAGGGAGTATTTACTGTCTTTTCCCATTTTGTGGGCCACTTAAGAACTCAGTTATGTCATGCTTTTCATTCCTATATAAATACAATCTCCTCTTCTGCTAACTTATTTTTTTCTGCTACACATGTTCCAGTCATTGTATCTGACAAAAACCGAACAGAGTAATTCCTTGTGTGTGCGTGCACACGCATTCATCTGCTTATAGCTGCTGCGATCATGTACTTTTAAATGCAAACTATTAAGTGCTCTGTAGTAAGAAGTTACGAGAATAAAGCGAGGACAACTTGTTCACCTCTCTGCCCTTTTTATACTGCTGGTGTTTATTTTTGTCATATTGGCCTGATGTGATACTCAGCTGCTGTGACTGTTTCCGACCACCAATCTTGAATGTAGTGAAACTTGACCTGAAACCTCAAGAAGTTGCATAACACTGGTTGTTCAAAGAAAGATAACACTTTTGAGAGTTCTCTTTTCTGTTGGATTAGCTAGAAATAATTTTGCTATATTCTACTTCAGCAATAGAGTGTAAGGTGGAAGAGGGGTGCTTTAAGCAGGGCCAAGGAGTTTGGTTTAGAATAGCTCAGTATGGGGAGGCACAGTATCTTAATTTAGCCAAATGTTAGGGTGGCTCAACACTTGACAAGTGTTTTTCTGATTTTCAGGTTTTTCCTGAAATTCCATCTTCTGCCAAGTCTAAATTTACTTGCCATTTTACTTAAGAGGTGGAGAATATAATCTGCCAGATTTTGTTTATACTCTGCACGCATCTGATTTCCTAGTTTCCTGCAAATTATTAAGGCAAGGTTGGAGGAGATCCTTATTTCCTTACTGCAGCAGTTCAGTTCAAGTGCAGGCTGGCAGAGAGGGGGGCACAGGAAACTGGAGCCTGGGAGCACGGCACATATGTACCCTCACACCATGCCAGAGTATCCATCCTGCCAAGGCTGCCCTTCTTTGCCTACCTTCTCCTCACTTACCTGCAGCTGCAGCAGAGGTGAACCTGATCCCAGTTCTGATGAGTTACTTTACATTTTTAGCAGAATATGTGAGCAGAAAACTATGATGTTCGAAGTTTTATAGAAGGAAAATAAATACACATTTCCTTTCAGTAGCAGGCAGTGAAGTAAAGTAACTAGTGTTTTACTTGTGACTATCTGACTAGCAATACATCTGTGCTACTTAAGCAGTAAATGTGGTAAATCCCTGAAGTGCAGACAGAGGGGATCCTCCAGAACTGTGTGTCTGCAGTAACTTGAGTTATTCCATTAGTTACCATCATTAACAAATAAATGGTATTTTTTAATCCAGTAAATATGTTTGCCTGAGCATCAGTTAGTGATTATACCTGAGATGGTCTGGTATCGGGTGCTGATGATTGCTTCAATAAATGATTAAGAAGGAATGTGAAGTATTGTAGGCAGAAAACAGAATTATAGGTCAAGAATTTGGCAATTGCTGGACCACCAAACTGCAGGAAGGCTTTTTTATCCATTTGCAACAGGTAAAGTCAAGAAAGCAGTGCTAAGAAAATGATAGGTATCCATATGCTACACTGAATCAGGGTACAGAGCTGGTATTCCCACAGAGCAGAATGAATACTCTGGGCTTTCATCCTGAACTTGCTGTCACTGCTGCCCATTAGCAGGGGGTTAAATAAAAAAAAACAAAAGAGCTGCCGAAATGGTATGAAAAAGTAGTGATGACAAGCAATCTATATGGCAGAAGTCATGCCAAAAGAAGTTAAGGACAGTAAGCACAAACAATAAACTTGCAAGTCACAGCATCAAATCCTGAACAAATATTTATACACATGTATACAAAAGCGTATTTTACATAGTTGGTAACGAGGGAATATCTTGGGTTTCAAGTTTCTTGGTTTTTGAACTTTGAACCATCTCACGGATCCTTTCCAAGAGGCACATCTGGCCCATGCAGTTCCTTTAGGAGAAATTGTGCTATTTACACACTCCTGGACTTACAGAGCATACTTCAACTTTGTTTCCTGGGCTGCCTCAGTGGGATGGAAGCCTGCTGGTTATTTCCCTTCAGAATGTGTGAGCAGCATAGTAATGAGCACTGGC